CCCCAAGCTTTGCTCATGGGTTGGGGGGGGGGTGCGTACAGCAGCAGCCTTGCCAATGTGCTGAGCCGACCAAGGCTGTGCTCAAAGGTTGAAGGTTCAAAGAGATCCTGGAGCCCCACCAGGTCGGACTCCTCCATGGCTCTGTGTGGGGGTGTGCGCCATCATTCAGCCTTCACAGTCTTCTGGTAGTGCAGGACGGTGGCTGTCACCAACAGGTTTAAAAACAGCATGACCACAAAGCGAATCAGAACTGAAATTGATGAAAAGGAGTGGTGTGTATTAAAAGTCCTCTTCACATGACAGCAAAACCAAGTAGAATCTGTCCCCCTAAAAACATAACTGTGGGCCAGGAGAACTTTAAACGACTTTTTGCTTCAAGTATTTCTTGGGAAATGAATTTCCTATCATAATGATTATATTATCTTTGGCCACGTGGCCTGACTTCAATGAATAATAATTTATATCTTAAATGCTTAATGTAAAGTATTCTGGCTCTGGCTAAGAAGCGCTAGAACTGGGACCAGCAGTTAGCGTAATGGCTATGTTGCTGACCTCCCATGTAGTCGACCGCGGTTCGAGTCCAGGACCCAGTGGCTTAAATTCATGCCAGGTGCGTGTGCATGCGTGCCCAAGATCCTGCGAGGAGAATGGAGGAGAAGGGATTGTGGCATGGCCATCCCCCCGGGAGGTGATTTCTCGCTTTCTATCTCTCTGTCTCTCTCTGTCTTTCTGGCGAGCACAGACGCCCTATAGCAAAAATCTCTCCAAAAAAAAAAAAAAGTGCTAGAACTTCTTTAAATCCCTTAAAAGTCTTAAGAGTGCTGGTAATCTCGGAATACCATGCTCAGCAAGGAAGTAGAATGTGTTCCATTAATTCTGAAAAAGTGGTCCAAATGTCTAAGCATACTTTATTGAAGTAGCCATGGAAGTATTGTGACTCTTTGTAAGGAAAAAAAGTTCTTTTACTTGCACTGTATCCTGATTAAAAACAAAACAAAACAACAACAACAAAAAAAAAACACGTAAGATATCAGCTAAACTATATTTAAAAGGTTAGGTATCCTGATTGCTTTCAGGAACAGCTGTCAGAGGTAAACAAATCAATTAGAACATTCTTGATTTTTTTTAAAGTATTTTATTCCTTTTTTTTTTTCCCCATATAATATGTGCAACTCACCAGAGAGAGACAGAGGGAAAGTGAGATGTCACCCCCGGAGAGGATGACCACACTGCACTCTCTTCTGGGATTTTGGGCATGCATACATCCGTGTTCAGTGTGATTTTCAAGCCACCAGGTCTGGTACTCGAACCGCAGTCAATCATGTGAGAGTTCAGCGCCTTAACCACTGCACCACCTGCTGGCCCCCACCGGCCACTGCTTTTACTAGTAAGCATCTATTCTGTGATTTCCACATGGCCAACTGTGCAGTTCGAGTCCCAGACCAGGCAGCTTGAAAAATGCCTGGCACATGTGTGTCCATGCCCGGATCCTGAGAGAAGGATGGAGGAGAAGGGACTGCAGAGTGTCCTTGCTTTCCCCCCACACCCCCCTCCGCCGAGTGTTCCCTGTGCCCTCAGTGATTCAGGAGCGATAAGTCAATCTGTTAACCCCTAACATGGTTTCTAAGTGCAGGAGCACGAACAGCAAAAAATCTCAAAAAGTGGGAAAATACTTTGCTTACTTGTAAAATCGTTGGTGGTCATTAAGGTTGTCACTATTCTTGCTGTAAAAGAAAAGTTGCAGCAATAAATAACTTGCTTCTCAGACACTTTGGTGTTGAGTGAATAATCCCTTTGGATATACCATTACAGGGACCAACAGACATCGTAATGGCATGCCACTGGACTCCCATGTAGTCGACCGTGGTTCGAGTCCCAGACCACGTGGCTTAAACTCACGCTGGGCGTATGTGTGTGCATGCCCAAGATCCCGAGAGGAGAATGGAGGAGAAGGGATTACGGCATGGTCATCCCCCCAGAGGGGTGATTTCTCGCTTTCTGTCTCCCGATCTCTGTCTTTCTAGTGAGCACACACGCCCTATAGCAAAGACCTCTCAAAAAAAAGAATATACCATTACATACTAACCACCCTTGAAAGATCTGGGAAGGACAGAAAACCAAGTAGAACTATTTCATAAACATCTAAACTTACCAGCCATGCATCCCAGCCCAGTGTCTTGAAATTGCCCATGAGAGCAGGAGTAGTTTCTAGAAAGCACCTAATGCAAATGTCAGGTAGAGTTGCTATGTTAGGGAAGACTGACTGAAAACCCCGAACATGTTCAATACAGATGCAACCAACCTATTATTTAGTTTTAACTATGTTCGACTCATGCTTGGTTGAACCTGCGGGTGTGGAGCTTGTTGAACACGTGGTGCTGTCTGTACCAAACAGACTGAAATGGAGCACAGCCAGCACTGCGTCCCCGGTTCTCCTCCACAGGGGAAACCCACTACAGATCACAAATAGGCAGAAGATCAGATGCATCTGTACTGAACATGCATTGGGTTTTTTTGTTTATTTGTTTTGTTTTGAGAGATTTTTGCTAGAGAGCACATGTGCTTGCCAGAAAGACAGGGAAAGTGAGAAAGACCCAGGAGGCATGGCCATGCCACCTTCCTTTCTTCACTCTCCTCCTGGGATCTTGAGCACGCACCCATACCCACCCAGCGTGGGTTTCAAGCCACCGGATTGGGGACTCTAACCACTATCAACCCATGTGGGAGTCCAGCACCATAACCACTATGCCGCCCTGAACGCGTACCTTTTTTTTCCCTTGTCATTATTCCCAAAACAATATAACAAGTATTTACGTTTGCATTGCATTAGGTATCAGAGGCAATCTAGAGAGGACTTCAAGTTTCCAGAACGACCTAGGTTAGTTATGTGCAAATACGGCAGCACTCTCTAAGGGACATCAGGAGTTTGGTACCCACGGGGGTCCTGGAACCAGATCCTGTGGGACAGCTGTGCATGGTCTCTGCACTTAAAAGTTCCCAGACTTCCTAAAAAAAAAATGTACTAAGCAACACTTAAATATTTAAAAATCAGAAGCTAAATTTGGAAGGTAATAAGTAATGTATCTACCTAACCTTCAAATATATATCCCACAATAATACCGCAACATTTCGAAGCTAAAAATAAAACTCAAGAAGTTCTAATTTAAGTAACTGTGGACATAAAGACCCTATACCAGCAACGCTGGATGGAGAAGAACCACGATGACTATAATGAAAATACAATGTAAAATATCTAAATCGAGTAAATCCAATTGATGTGACAACAGCTCCTAATATTTAGAATGTTTCTACTTAAACACAGATCGTTGGTTCTTGCCGGAATCCAGGTAACACTGGCAATTCTGAGGTCGAGCCCATACTGCGTGGCCGCGGGAAATCTCCGCGGCTACAAATGGCATTCAGTTTCAAAGGCCAGTGTAGGACTTTGGTCTCGTTAATCTGTCGCATCTTAAACATTCAAGTTTTTAACATACGTAGATTCCCTCTAACCAAACCTGAAAGTTTTTCAAAGAAGAGAGGACGTTGAAGCCCGATATTTGGAGAAAAGGGTACTTTCACCTTTTTACTTTGGGAATTTGAATCTTGCAAGAAAAGGAGAACAGCCTGCCTTAAACCTGCTCTGTAAATACGGATACACACGGAAGGGGCCTTCTGACCAGTTACTGGCAAGACAGTACAGCCCAGGGGACCGTGGCTTGGACACCGAGCTACCATCATGGCCCCGGGCAGACACAGGCCGCACGCTTACTTGCACAAGTGTACGCCGCCAGGCCCCAGGAGAGCGCGCTCACGGCCCCCGCGTCTCTGGTCTTCCACAGGTAGTGGAGCTGCAGAAACTTACTGGCCGCACTGATGAACGTGCAGAAGTTCTGTCGGCAGATCAAACACGAGGGTATCAGAAACCCATTGTTTAAAAAAAGCAAAAGAGCACCCGATACTCAAAGCACTTCGGAAACCAGATTTTTAGGTCAAGTCATAAGCAATTTCTACAAGGTCGAAAACTAAAATTTGGCGGAAAAGAATGCGCCCACGAGGCGTTTATAACGGCACGGTTCGGTGGTAACACATCGGCCACACCCAGGGTGCAACGGCGTGAGAAAGATCACTGCATGGCTGCAGAAGTTATCACGCACCCCAGTTAAAAGTGGATGCACAGATGCTATCGTGTTTTAGGGCTGGGGAACCAGGCTGCCTTGACCTGACAACAGTCTTAACGACAGCAGCAAGCCAGGTGTGGGAGCCCTGAATGGACGGCCACTCTCATAATGAGTCCGCGGGGTGGTGCGCCAGAGCCTGTGCACCAGAGCCGCTGCGCCCCCAGCCTGAGCCAGGCCCAGCCCTGCCTCTCCAGACTTCACAGCAGCTGAAAATGTGTGGTGGAGGCCAGAGGACAGCGAGAGCCAGGGAGGAAGCCACCCCAGTCACCAGGTTGAACCGGGGTGGTATAAACGGCGGAGGTGAGAGTTAGGTATGGATAGATGCCGAGGAAGAGCCCAAGCTCTGTCTGGCGTTCGCGAGGGGAAGAATGGAGTTGCCGTCAGCCGAGACAGGGCTGCAGGAGGAAGTGCTCAGTCAGTGGCTCTGTTCTGGACCTGCGAGGTGGGCAGTGGCCAGACAAGACAGGTGGTGTGTGCTGGAGCCTGCGCCGTACCCTGGATGAAGGCAAGGGATGAGGACGCAGGGAAGACTGGAAAGGATCAGGTGGGAGGAACGTGGGAGAAGTGCCCCAAGTGGAGGGACTGCAGGAGGAACCACGATCAATCGATCAATCGTGTTCTCTTCCTCGCTGTGGGACAGAGAGGTTGGGTAGGAAAGGAATGGCTTCAGCGGGAGTGCCAGGGGCTGGTGTTCTCGAGGAGAGCGACGAGAGCGGCTTGCTATCTGCTCCCCAGCACAGGGAACGCTCTCATGTGAACCTCTTCCTGCAGGGTCCCCGCACCTGGCGGGCGCTTAACAAATCCTTCCCCTGTGAGCTAGTCTTAAGTGATACGCAGCTTGCAGACGGGACAGCAGGGCATTCCTAATAACCGGAGAAGGGAAGGGTCCCGGACAGGGAAGAATTACAGAGAAAGGGGAAAGCAGGGAGTGTTCCCAACAAAGGAGCAAGGCAAGGGCCATCAAGCTGGGGGCAGGGAGCAGAGGGCTTGGAAGAGGGCTGACCCCTCCCAGGAGGACTGAGAGGTTCTCGTGCAGCCGGACACCTGGCCAGAGCGGAGGAGGGAGGGTGCAGCCAGAACTAGCCAGGACATGGCTCAGTACGGGCTGGTGAGGAGCCAGGCCTGGGAGTGACGGAAAGCAGGGGCAGAGGCTGGCTTTGTTCAAAAAAGTCAGGGGCAGGACTCCTCCAGGCAGGCCAGTGCCAAACTAAAACCTGCCCACTGAAAACTGCCCAGGTTCGGGAACCAGCAGTTAGCGTAATGGCTATGTCGCTGGACTCCCACATAGTCGACCGCGGTTCACGTCCCAGACCCGGTGGCTTAAAACTCACGCCGGGCACGTGTGCGTGCGTGCCCAAGATCCCGAGAGGAGAATGGAGGAGAAGGGATTGCGGCGTGACCATCCCCGCTGGGGGGTGATTTCTCGCTTTCTGTCTCTCTGTCTCTCTCTGTCAGGCAAGCGCACGCGCCCTATAGCGAAAACCTCTCCAAAAAAAAAAAACAAAACTGCCCAGGTTCACTGTCTGGGAGAAAAGCCATTTTTAAACTCATAAAGTGATTTTGGTTCATAACCGTGACCGGGACGGTCTTACATATCTACTGCACGTTACTAGTTTTTCCATAAAACACACCTAGCACAGGAGCACAACCGGAAGGGAGATGGGACGCGTACACTGTCAGGAGCTTCCTTTAAGCTCTTTAGCCACCTTTGGTCTGCGAGGGACCAATCTACCCTCGAAAGCAGTTTAGGACTTCTGTGGAATAGATTTGTCGGTTTGCATTGCTCCTTCTATTTGAAAGCAACAAAGGGGCCATGCCGGTGGCCTAGTGGCTAAGGGAGCTGGATCCACCTACCTGACTGCATGGTTTGAATTCTGGCCCCAGCAGATTTGGGGGAAAGACAAAAACACCCTGGATGTGTGTGAATGCATGCTCAAAACCCCAACAGGATGGAGCAGAGCATGACATGACCGTGACCCAATGGGGGTGCTTTCTCCTCTCTCTGTGTCTCTGGTGAGCACACACATTCCCTAACAAATTTTAAAAAATAAAAAGAAATAAAACTAGAAATATCCTATTAATGCAGGGTTTTCAGTAACTCAAATGTCACTTCCTCCACTATAGAATTCTGAAGATTTTTCTGAAATGTGTGCACTCTGAAGCCTCTGCTGACTCTCCTGCATGACCACTAGGTCCAGCTGCCCTGTGCCCCCAGCAGCCCCTTGTCCCCTGCTGCCCTGCACTGCCCTTCCCTGCTCTGCTCCACCTGCCTCGCCTGGATCCACCCCTCACACCCCTCAGTCCCCCAACCCCCACCCCGGCTCCACTCCACCCAGCATGGCTCTGCCCTTCGCTGCCCTGCCCGGCACCACCCTGCTCTGCCTTGGCTCAGGCTGGTGAGCCTTGATGGCCTTGGCTTGGCTCTGGCTCCGAGAGCAAAGAAGCGCTTGCAAGCATTGCTATGGGCTTTGAGAGCCTACTAAGAGCTCTGTGAGCTCCCATTAAACTCGGCCAATAAGCAACATGACATCAGTGCCTCACGTCTTTTTCCAACTCCCTGCATCTCTGTTAAACCACCCCTGCGAGGAGAAAAGAACCTTGCAAAAAATATAAGCCCTCTTCCAGAAAGAAAAAAAAAAAAATCTCTTGGAGGTGGGGGTGGCATACTCAGAAAATAATGAGTACGTGTGTCTGATAGGCCATTATTAACCTGTCGAGAAGCTCTTCCACTTACGGGTTATTCATTCTGTGACTGTCAACTACCTCTTCAATCTGGGTCTCTAGGGACCCCAAAAGGGATGTGAACAAAACCCTCATGCATTTAAATCACAACTACATCTTTTAACATTGGGGAGTGCTGCACTTCCACACCCACTGCCCCTTTGCACAACTGAAGAAGAGCAGGTAAGCGTTGACCTACACATCTCTTACCCAGGCTGCGCCAGAGTGGAGGAGGCCGCCTGCCACTTGACTGCTCTCTTCAAGGGGCAGTACTCACCATGGCCAGGTCAATGATCCACTTCTGCAGGCCGAGGACGAACCAGGAAGACACCAAGCTTACCCGGCGCTAAGGAAGTGGAGGCAGGGTGGCTGGCAGCTCCCCCACCCTCCATCTCATGCAAGCAACTGAGAGACACTGGGAGTTACACCACAGGCTTGTGTGGAACTGGCTGGTTCTGCTAGAACTCCTCGGGATTTAGAAAAAACTAAAAGGGTTTCAAGTGAATGCCTGCTTGGAGTTCAAAAGAACAAGAAGGATTATGGAAAAAAAGAAAAGACACCTGTATGTGTGGAGTTGGGATTCTCCTGGGATTAGGAACATTCCTAATGGTTTTAACTGCCTGCTGCGTTCCTGACCAGATGGACAGCTCCCACTTATTGTCAGAAGGTAAGCAATTCTAATGAAGGAAAAGTTCAACATGATACAGTGGGAATATTCTGCAGAAGTGCTGTGAGGTGAACTTGTTTACTAATCCCTCACCTTCCCACTAACCACACGGCAAAATGACACAGGCAGGCAATGCGGGAGATAGAGGGCCAGGAGCTGAGTTTCATTCTGCCCTGAGCTCAGTTCAATGAGGCTGCAGGACCAAGTTCACCTGAAGGGGCTGCCCCAAGCCAGCGGCCAGAGTGTGAGGAGACAACCATCTATCCACCTTGGTTTGGCTTGGCTCTGGCTCCCAGAGGGAGGAAGCCACTCTGTGGGCATTCTCCACGTGTGCTACTCGCTCCAAGAGGGAGGAAGCGCTTGCGAGCACTGCTATGGGCTTCGCAAGCCTGAGAGTTCTGTCAGCTCCCACTGAACTCAGCCTAATAAGCAACATGACATCAGTGCCTCACGTCTTTTTCCAACTTGCTGCATCTCTGTTCAACCACCCTTGGGAGGAGAAAAGAACCTTGCAAAATGTAAGCCCTCATTCAGGAAGGAAAAAAACTCTTGGGGGTGGGGGTGGATGTCACATCCTTGGTCCTGTCTGCCTCCTGGGAGCCTATGAGCACACAGTAGTGACCCGGTGTCACTCACAGCATTGCCAAGATGAAGGGGCTGCAGGGGACAAAGCCCTGGGCTGAAAGGCAGCAGAACTAGACAACAGCAGCAGTCCACATCTCGCTGGATAAAATCCGGTTTCAAAACACTCTCTAATTCCAATTCTTAAACTAAGTTTTGTGAATTGTTTTGATCCAATTCTGTATTGCCCTAACTCATTCTTTTTATTCCAAATATGTGATACTTTATAACATGTGCCCAGTAGGAGGGGCCAGGTTTAGCAAATACAAAGATAATGCCCAGTTAAATTGAAATTTTAATCAACAACAAATCATTTAAAAATATACCTCAGGCAATATTGGGTGCATCTTTATACTAACAAACGTGCTGTTGGCAACTCTACTCCTTTGCTCTCCATCCGACAAGAGGTAATGCAGGGCTTTCTGACGCTCCAGGCTGGCCATGTGCACCCCTGCGTCCTGCACCCCTGGTTTCTAATCTACGGCCTCAGCATTTGCACAAAGATGAGTTGTTACTTTTTTTTTTTAAAGTAAATCACCAGCTGGCTCAATGGCCTGCCAGATCCCACAAGGCCAACCACAGGGTTCAAGTTTTGGACCAAGGGGCTTCAAAAACACCCTAGGTCCATGTGTGTGCATGGCCAAAAATCCCTAAGGATGGAGATGGAGGAGAAGGGATTTTGGAATAGCCCTGCCCAATGGGGGTGTTTTCTCTGTCTGCCTCCCTCTGGGGAACACAGGCGCCTTCTAGCAAAAGTAAAAAGCGCATACTATCGGGTTGTCGGGAAAATCATGTGCATTTTTTACATAGAAAGACATTGAAAAATACGTCATGACTTTTCCAGTGACCCAATCCTTTTCACCTCTAAAGTGCTGTTCCCAACACCTGTCACCAGCGAGGCCTGAGCTTGAAGCGCTGCACTGCCGTAAGCTGTCTGGTCCCTGGTTTTGCAACGGGAAGCCATGCCAGGAGAGCTTAGGGCTTGAGGAAATAGCGGGGGGATCAGTGACCAGCTAGAACCCAGCTCCCCTCAGAGTGGCTGCAGAGCCTCCCCCAGAAAACAGCCATCACACCGCACTCACTCAACTGTCTGCATTCCTAGTACTTCGGTTCTTCAACGACCCTAAGGGCAGGCACCATACTCCGCATTTGACAGACGGGGGTGGTCACCACCACTGCCCCAAAACACCTTCCCAGGCTTTAGGAACAGGAAGTTCAACAAGACAATGAGGGCTGGTCCTTACAGGGAGGGACCATCCATGGGACACGCGACGTCCAGGCTCCTGGGGGCCTCCTACACTCTCCTTGTCTTGCTGAAGGGCGCGTGCACTCCCGAGAAGACAGAAAGGGCGAGTGAGTGAGAAATCACCCCGGGCATGGCCACCGTAATCCCTCTCCTCCAGTCTCCTCGCAGGATTTTGGGCACACACATGTGCCCAGCATGTTTTTCAGGAGACCCGTGTGGAACTCCAACCGTGGCTACGTGGGGGTCAGAGGCCTAGCCACCCCGCCCCAGCCCGGCCCGCCTCTGAGCACCTTAGGCCTCCCCGACAGCAGGTGTCGGCCTCCTGCCCACTCGGCCTGTGTGCTCCGCTGGCAGGGACTCTACGAAGAGCATCTGCAGTCTGTGTAGACACATTTTCTTTTGGGATTCATTCTTAATTTAACCAAAAAGCATACACCCGGTGAGGGACTCTGCTCAGTACTGTCCACTCTCCGCGAGCTGCTGCTGGTTCCCTCCCTACTCGGGATGAAAGGATACACAGCCATGACCGGAGCCGCCTGTTTCACGTTCCCGGAGAAGTGAAAGAAGCAGAGCAGGAGGATGACATCTGAAAGAGACGGGTTCCCGTGAGGGGAGCAGGGCCCGGGGAGCCGCCGCCGCAGGAGGGCCGGTTACCTTGGGCGATGAGGATGGGGTACTCCAGGTAGGTCAGCAGCGGGTACCCGTAGTACCACTGGTACCGGAGGAACACCAGGAACCTGGGGGAGGAGGGGGCACGTGTTCACACAGCACCGGCCACCAGGCCAAACCTTACCAGGGTGGAGTGAGCCTGGAGCGGCCGAGAGGAAGGCTTAGGACGAATGGGCGGAAGGTCACTCAGAAGACCCGCACGGTTTCGGGGAGTCCAGTACTTGCTGGCCCTGGGCCAGGGCACCACATGTGTGCTCTCAGGCAAGTCCCCTGAGATGGCCCTTTGCAAGGAGCTTTCACAGAGGGCGAGGAGCTGGCCAGTGTCATGATAGAGGACCCTCTGGGCCCCACTCTGTCCCCTCCAACGCTGGCCCGCCCCCTCAATGGACTGCAAGCCCCGGCTGGTGGGGACCTGCCCTGGATGGGGGCAGACAGTCTAACGGGATCTGGGGCAGAGGAAAGGTCATGTCTAAAGAGCAGACAGTCGGCAGGTGGTGTGGTGGTTAAAGGTGCTAGATTTCCACATGGCTGATAGCAGTTCGAGTCCCAGACTTGGCAGCTTGCTTTCTCGCCTTCCCTTTCTCTTTCTCGGTCTCTCTGTGGTCAAATTAAAAAATAATAACAAATGGAATTAAATAAGTAAGTAATTCTTTAAAATAAATAAAAGGCAGGCAAACCACGACGTCCACACTACCTGCAAAGTGTGGCCAACTGCAGAGAGCCGTGGGGGAAAGGCTAGAAGAACACCCCTCAATTTCTCGAAGAAAATCCAGGCTCTGAGTGAGGTTGGGGTTGGGGTGTCTGAAGACTCCAGGCCCCACCTCCCCCTGGTCCTGCCTTCCCAATGCCTGGGGCCTGTGCCTGCCCTGGACAGACCCTGCACATTCTCAGCTGGGCTGGACTGGGCGGCCACAGGCGAGAGGCAGAAGCCTCATATCACCTGCACACCTGTCTCCCGAGGCCTGGACTTCGCAGACTGGCCCTGTATGACCAGTGGAGCCTCAGCTTGGCCCCTGACCCACCTCCTGGGCAGCCCCTTCCTGTGAGGGGGGGTGCCGGTAGGGGAGGGTGGGGCCACACTGTGAGGGGGGGTGCCGGTAGGGGAGGGTGAAGCCACACCCCACCCTCCTCTGCTGCCGCAGCTGCTGAGGCCGCCCTCACACACGCATGGCGGCGTGGGCAGACCCGAGAGCCTCGGGTCCGGCGTGCTCCAGGAAGGGCTCGGCCCCACAGACCTCCACGGCCCCCACCTGCAGGTCCCTGGGGAAGCGGAGGCCCACAGGAGCCAGGAAGGACGCAGAGTCTGACATTCCTGTCACCCTGTCCCCCACCCCACCCCAGGCTCAGCTGTCTCTTCCCAGGATGCCCGGAACCCCAGGGCCCAGGGCGGATCCCAAACCTCCCGCCCTCTTGCAGCCTGGAAGGCGGGCAACATGTGTGTTTCCTTCACTCTTTACTGCAGTTTCTTTCCACCTAAAACCCAAGCTGCTCCTTATGATAAAACCAAGCTGAGCGCCCTCTGGCCACCGCTGGTTCACACTCCTTGCGGCCCAGGGGAGACAGCGGGGTTTCCCCCTCAGACACCTGTGGATTTAAACCCGCGCACACCGAGTGAGGGCGCGGCCGGATTTGAACCAATGGCTTTTCCACAGGGGTCTCACCCAGAGGCCAGAGCTCTAACTGCCTGAAAGTGAAGCTGAGGAGGGAAGCAGGATCATGCCCTCCCCTCCGGCCACCCCAAGGCCACTGAGGCCAAGTGCCCATCCACAGAGAGCTCCCTGGCAGGCGGCTGAACGCTCAGAACTGTGCTCCGGGAGGCGGGCGTTGGCCCAACGGGCACCTCCGCATCCCACCCAGGACACTGCCCGAGTAAGTGCGGAAAGGCAGCTGCTGCCCGGTGTGGGCGCCTCCCACAGTCACCGTGGGCCCAGCGGCTCTGAGGCCCCCTTCTCACACTCGCTGCACTGCACATCCAACCAGTGAGTCCCCAAAATGCCCTCCAGAGACCCACCTGGCTCCCAGTCCCTGCAGCGGGCGTTACCCTGCATGGCCCTCGGATAAAGTCGAGAATGTGAGCCCTGGAGCTGGGCTTGCTGGGCACGTCGCCATCACGATGAGTCACCTAACCTCGGAGAGCCTTGGTGGTCCCGCCTATAACATGGGGACGCCAGCACTGCCTACTCCTGCGGTGGGTGCTTTAAAAGAGTGTGCAGCTGGAGCCAGCAGGTGGCGTAGTGGTGAACACCCTGGACTCCCACATGGCTGACTGCTGTTTGAGTGCCAGACCTGGTGGCTTGAAACTCATGTCGGGTATGTGTGCGTGCTTGCCCCAAATCCCAAGAGGCGAATGGAGGATTGTGGCGTGGCCACCTCCCCCCAGGGGGGTGATTTCTTGCTTTCTCTCTTTTTCTCTCCCTCTCAGGAGATAGCACACGCCCTAGAGCAAAAAATCTCTCTCAAAAATAAAAAAATGTTTGCTACTATCAAGTTGTCAGCGTCTCTCTGGCTGGAACAAAACTTCACTCACTGCTTCTGGTTCCGGTCCGCAGACTTCTCTTCCCGAAGCAGGGCCACTTTGTCCACAGGCCACCCCCAACTCCTCCCGAAAGACTTAGCCATGCTCCCCTGGGGGAGGGGTGATTTCTCACTCCCCCCCATCTCTGTCTCTCTGGCAAGCACATGCACCCTACAGCAAAAACAGAAAGCAAAACCACAAAAGCATTTTCTTGTGTCATTAAGGCACAGTTCATGTCCAGCTGATCTGATATTCTCAAGTGGATTTTTACAGCTACTTGGCTCAGCTCAGGATTCAAAGGTGGCCCGTGTCCTCGACCGGGTGTCCTGTCCCTGAAGCCCTCAGGACCATCTGCTGGTGACAGCCTTGGGGAGTTTTCTGCAGCCACGCCTCCATCTGCTCAGGGCCCTGGGCAGGCAGGCAGGCGGCACTGCCCACTGGGGAGCTGGGTCTGCCAAGCCTCAGCCAGGCTAGCCCCAGCAGGCCTCAGAGGGAAGCTGAGGGAGGTGTAGGGAGGGGCTGGAACGAAGAGCAGCCCCAGGGCTGCAAGTTTCTCCCTCCCAGGGTTCGGGTTCCCATTGTCTGGGCAAGAACAGAACCTGTCTCCCAAGTAGGTTTGTGAGGATTAAATAACTTAAAGGCTCAGGGTCCAGCAGAGCACAGGAAGTGGCACCCCGGCAATGAGCCACTGCCAGAGGCTGACTTGAGAGGCGGTGGGAGACCAGGACAGGGATGCTGAGTGTGCCTTAACACGCCCACCCCCACCTTAGCACGCCTACCTGCCCCTTAACACGCCCACCTCTCCCTTAGCACGCCCACCTCCCCCTTAGCACGCCCACCTCCCCCTTAGCACGCCCACCTCCCCCTTAGCACGCCCACCTCCCCCTTAGCACGCCCACCTCCCCCTTAGCACGCCCACCTCCCCCTTAGCACGCCCACCTCCCCCTTAGCACGCCCACCTCCCCCTTAGCACGCCCACCTCCCCCTTAGCACGCCCACCTCCCCCTTAGCACGCCCACCTCCCCCTTAGCACGCCCACCTCCCCCTTAGCACGCCCACCTCCCCCTTAGCACGCCCACCTCCCCCTTAGCACGCCCACCTCCCCCTTAGCACGCCCACCTCCCCCTTAGCACGCCCACCTCCCCCTTAGCACGCCCACCTCCCCCTTAGCACGCCCACCTCCCCCTTAGCACGCCCACCTCCCCCTTAGCACGCCCACCTCCCCCTTAGCACGCCCACCTCCCCCTTAGCACGCCCACCTCCCCCTTAGCACGCCCACCTCCCCCTTAGCACGCCCACCTCCCCCTTAGCACGCCCACCTCCCCCTTAGCACGCCCACCTCCCCCTTAGCACGCCCACCTCCCCCTTAGCACGCCCACCTCCCCCTTAGCACGCCCACCTCCCCCTTAGCACGCCCACCTCCCCCTTAGCACGCCCACCTCCCCCTTAGCACGCCCAACTCCACCTGTGGGAGTGGAGAAAACAGAGGCAGGCGGGTTCCCATCTCCAGCTTTAACAATACTATTTAGCTGTTTCCTCTCCCCTTATTCTGGGCTGAGCTGTTTCAAAGGGAGTCCAGATGGTCCATTCCGCCTGGGCTGAGGCAGAAAGGCCTACCTCTCTGGCACCTGATCAAGTGCAAGCCCCCTCAGGGCGGCTAAAGGGAGCAAATGCAGGCTCTCCACCCAGGGGCAACCTTCCTACCCAGAGCGGCCTCCTCCCAAGCAGCAGTTTAAATCTGCCGCACGAGATTCCAGAGGAGCCCTCGCCTCTCCAAGCCCTCCTGGGTTGCCTTTCCTTTTTTTCTATAATTATTTTATTTAACTTTTTATTTATTTATTTATTTATTTATTTATTTTTAAATTTGACCAGAGAGGGACAGAGAGAGAGGCAAAGTGAGAAAGCAAGCTGCCAGGTCTGAGACTCAACACCCTTAACCACCCACTACGCCACCTGCCGCCTCACTATTTCTATTTTTTTAAAATGTATCGTTATTGTTATTATTAGGATTATTTTTAATTTGCTACAGAGAATGCACGCTTGAGAGAGAGAGAAAGTGAGAAAGCAGGCTGCCCAATCCGGGACCTGAACCACAATCAAACAGGTAGGAGTCCAGCGCCTTAACCACCATGCCGCCCGTTGGCCCCGGGTTTGCATTCTTAAAGCAGTGGAGCTAACGGCGGAAAAGAGGCGCGGCGACTCCATGGATATCCAGGGGCCTCTCTTCCCCCCACTGCACTGTCAGCCCCAGCTATCCCAGCTGGGAGACCTGGCAAGGGCGCGACCACTAGGGCGGTGTTTTCCCAGTTCGAGTTCCCAAACCATTCGTTTCCCAGCTCTCCTTTTCTCGGTTAGGTCTTCAGCTGCTGAGTAGAGTCGGGGCACCCACTCGGGAATCTGACGATAAACCTGCCCGCGCCCCGCCCACCTTTCGAGCACCGATCCTGTTCCCCTCCTGGTCTCTCGGGCCCCACCCGTCTGAATTCCCACACTCGGAACTGTTCAAAGCCAGAGGAGCCTTAGAGATGACGGCCCAACCCTCGTGCTACGGGTCAGGAAAGGGGCCCGAGGGAGTGATGGCGTGGTGGGGTTAGGGTCGATGGAGACAAGGGGCCTCGAGGCGCACGTGGCCTGGCCGGGGCCGGCCGGCTCCTTCACTAAGGGACCGAGTGAGGGGTACCGCGGGGTCTCAGTTTTCTTATCTGCAAAGTGGAGGTGCGCAGTCAGCTCCGGCCGCACCAGGCTCCGCGAGGGGCCACCGCGAGGGAGGTGAGACCAGGGAAGCGCCCCCACCGCACCCTCGGCTCCCGATTAACCCTTAGCCGCCCGGCAGCAACGCGCGAGTTCAAGGACCGCCCCGCTCCGCTGCTCCCCCGGCTTCCTACTTCTTCCAGATCACGGGCGCGAGGGAGGAAAGGCGCTGCCCGCCCGCCCCGGGCCTTACCCCGCCAGCTCCAGCAGCAAACTCGGGAGGCTGATGCCCCGCGCGCTGCGCGCCTCCCTCACGGCGTTGATCTGCGGCAGCTTGAGCGCGGCGCACACGCCCAGTGTGCTCCAGTTGCAGAACC